AGAATTAGAGGTAAGACAGAATGGAGGACTGCGGATGAGCAAGGAGGTTTCAGAGTGGGTAGGGGATGTGTAGATCAAGTGTTTACATTGAAGCATATATGTGAACAGTATTTAGATAAAGGTAGGGAAGTTTTTATTGCATTTATGGATTTAGAAAAGGCATATGATATAGTGGATAGAGGAGCAATGTGGCAGATGTTGCAAGTATATGGAATAGGTGGTAAGTTATTAAATGCTGTAAACAGTTTTTATGAGGATAGCGAGGCTCAGGTTAGTGTGTGTAGAAGAGAGGGAGACTACTTCCCGGTAAAAGTAGGTCTTAGACAGGGATGTGTAATGTCACCATGGTTGTTTAATATATTTATAGGTGGGGTTGTAAAGGAAGTAAATGCTGGGGTGTTCGGGAGAGGGGAGGGATTAAATTTTGGGGAATCAAATTCAAAATGGGAATTGACACAGTTACATTTTGCTGATGATACTGTGCTTATGGGAGATTCTAAAGAAAAATTGCAAAGGTTAGTGGATGAGTTTGGGAATGTGTGTAAAGGAAGAAAGTTGAAAGTGAACATAGAAAAGAGTAAGGTGATGAGGGTATCAAATGATTTAGATAAAGAAAAATTGGATACCAAATTGGGGAGGAGTATGGAAGAAGTGAATGTTTTCAGATACTTGGGAGTTGACGTGTTGGCGGATGGATTTATGAAGGATGAGGTCAATCATAGAATTGATTAGGGAAAAAAGGCGAGTGGTGCATTGAGGTATATTTTTTTTTTTTTTTTTTTTTTTTTTCCCAACAAGTCGGCCGTCTCCCACCGAGGCAGGGTGACCCAAAAAAGAAAGAAAATCCCCAAAAAAAAAATACTTTCATCATCATTCAACACTTTCACCACACTCGCACATTATCACTGTTTTTGCAGAGGTGCTCAGAATACAACAGTCTAGAAGCATACACATATAAAGATACACAACATATACCTCAATGCAGTTTGGAGGGATATGTGGAGCCAAAAAACGTTATCTATGGAGGCAAAGAAGGGAATGTATGAAAGTATAGTAGTACCAACACTCTTATATGGGTGTGAAGCTGGGGTGGTAAATGCAGCAGCGAGGAGACGGTTGGAGGCAGTGGAGATGTCCTGTTTAAGGGCAATGTGTGGTGTAAATATTATGCAGAAAATTCGGAGTGTGGAAATTAGGAAAAGGTGTGGAGTTAATAAAAGTATTAATCAGAGGGCAGAAGAGGGGTTGTTGAGGTGGTTTGGTCATTTAGAGAGAATGGATCAAAGTAGAATGACATGGAAAGCATATAAATCTATAGGGGAAGGAAGGCGGGGTAGGGGTCGTCCTCGAAAGGGTTGGAGAGAGGGGGTAAAGGAGGTTTTGTGGGCAAGGGGCTTGGACTTCCAGCAAGCGTGCGTGAGCATGTTAGATAGGAGTGAATGGAGACGAATGGTACTTGGGACCTGACGATCTGTTGGAGTGTGAGCAGGGTAATATTTAGTGAAGGGATTCAGGGAAACCGGTTATTTTCATATAGTCAGAATTGAGTCCTGGAAATGGGAAGTACAATGCCTGCACTTTAAAGGAGGGGTTTGGGATATTGGCAGTTCGGAGGGTTTGGTTGTATATCTTTGTATGTGTATGCTTCTAAACTGTTGTATTCTGAGCACCTCTGCAAAAAGTGATAATGTGCGAGTGTGGTGAAAGTGTTGAATGATGATGAAAGTATTTTCTTTTTGGGGATTTTCTTTCTTTTTTGGGTCACCCTGCCTCGGTGGGACACGGCCAACTTGTTAAAAAAAAAATATATATATATATATATATATATATATATATATATGAAGGGGGTGGGAGAGTTTCAGTGGGGAGAAATAAATGGGATTAGGTCAGGAGTTTCAAATAGAGTTAGAGCTAAAGAAAGAGTAGCAATAATGTTGAAGGATAAGTTATGGCAGGAAAAGAAGGAATATAAATGTATAAATTCAAAGATTATATGGAGTAAAATAAGGGTTGGATGTGAAAAGTGGGTTATAGTAAGCATTTATGCACCTGGAGAAAGAAGTGTAGAGGAGAGAGAGAGATTTTGGGAAATGTTGAGTGAGTGCGTCTGGAGTTTTGAACCTAGAGAGAGAGTACTTGTGGTTGGGGATCTCAATGTTAAAGTGGGTAAAAATATTGTGGAGGAAGTAGTAGGTAAATTTGGGGTGCCTGGGGTAAATAAAAATGGGGAGCCTTTAATTCAGCTATGTGTATAAAGAGGTTTGGTAATAAGTAATACATATTTTAAAAAAAGAGGATAAGTATACAAGGTATGATAGAGCACATAATGAAAGTAGTTTGTTAGATTACGTATTGGTGGATAAAAGGTTGATGGGTAGGCTTCAGGATGTACATGTTTATAGAGGGGCAACTGATATATCGGATCATTATTTAGTTGTAGGTCCAGTTAGAGTAAAAGATTATAGCACAAAAGGAAAATGGCAACAGGTGTAAACGTATAAATTAAGGGAGGAGGAAGTTAGGGCGAGATATAAGCAACTATTTGCAGAAAGGTGGGCTAGTGCAAATATGAGGAGTGGGGGTTGAAGAGGGTTGGAATAGTTTTAAAAATGCAGTATTTGAATGTGGGGCAGGAGTTTGTGGTTATAGGAGGATGGGTGCAGGAGGAAAGAGGAGTGATTGGTAGAATGATGAAGCAAAGGGTGTGATAAAAGATAAAAAGATAGGTTATGAGAGGTTTTTACAAAGCAAAAGTGTTATAAGAGCAGAGTATATGGAGAGTAAAAGAAAGGTGAAGAGAGTGGTGAGAGAGTACAAAAGGAAAGCAGATGATAGAGTGGCAGAGGCACTCAAGAAATTTTGCAGAAAATATGAAAAATTTCTGGAGATAAACAAGTTAAGAAAACCTAGGGAACTAATAGATTTGTCAGTTAAAAACAGTAGGGGAGCTAGTAAATGGGGAGCTGGAAGTACTGGGTAGATGGCGGAAATATTTTGAGGAACTTTTAAATGTCGATGAAGAAAGGGAGGCGGTAATTTCATGCACTGGCCAGGGAAGTATAACATCTTTCAGGAGTGAAGAGCAGGATACGAGTGTGGGGGAGGTGCGCGAGGCATTATGTAGAACGAAAGGGGGTAAAGCAGCAGGAACTGACAGGATCATGACAGAAATGTTAAAAGCAGGGGGTGGATATAGTGCTGGAGTGGTTGGTATGAAAGAGGGGAAGGTACCTAGGGATTGGCAGAGTGCATGTATAGTTCCTTCACATAAATGGAAGGGGGGACATGAGAGATTGTAAAAATTATAAGGGAATAAGTTTACTAAGTATACCAGGAAAAGTGTACAGTAGGGTTATTATTAAGAGAATTAGAGGTAAGACAGTAGGATTACAGATGAGCAAGTAGGCTTTAGAGTAGGTAGGGAATATGTAGATCAAGTGTTTACACTGAGGCATATATGTGAACAGTATTTAGATAAAGGTAGGGAAGTTTTCATTGCATTTATGGGTTTAAAAAAGGCATATGATAGAGTGGATAGGGGAGCAATGTGGCAGATGTTGCAAGTATATGGAATAGATAGTAAGTTACTAAAGGTTGAAAAGGGTTTTTATGAGGATAGTGAGACTCAGGTTAGGGTGTGTAGAAGAGAGGGAGATTACTTCTCGGTAAAAGTAGGTCTTAGAGATGTGTAATGTCACCATGGTTGTTTAATATATTTATAGAAGATGGGGTTGTGAAGGAGATAAATGCTAGTGTTGGGGAGAGGGGTGGGATTAAATTACGGGGAATCAAGTACAAAATGGGAGTTGACAGTTACTTTTTGCTGATGATACTGTGCTTATGCTAGATTCTAAAGAAAAGTTGCAAAGGTTAGTGGACGAGTTTGGGAGGGTGTGTAAGGGTAGAAAGTTGAAAGTGAACATAGACAAGAGTAAAGTGATGCGGGTATCAAACGATTTAGATGAAGAAAAATTGGATATCACATTGGAGAGAGGGAGTATGGAAGAAGTGAATGTTTTCAGATATTTGGGAGTTGATGTGTCAGCAGATGGGTTTATGAAGGATGAGGTTAACCACAGAACTGATGAAGGAATGAGGTTGAGTGGTGCATTGGGGTATATGTGGAGACAAAAAACATTATCTATGGAGGCAAAGAAAGGAATGTATGAAAGTAAAGTGGGTGTAAAGCTTGGGTTGTAAATGCTGCAGAGAGGAAGCGGTTGGAGGCGGTGGAGATGTCCTGTCTAAGGGCAATGTGTGGTGTATACATTATGCAGAAAATTCTGAGTGTGGAAATTAGAAGGTGTGGAGTTAATAAAAGTATTAGTCAGAGGGCTGAAGAGGGGTTGTTGAGGTGGTTTGGTCATTTAGAAAGAATCAAAGTAGAATGACATGGAATGTACACAAATCTGTATGGGAAGGAAAGCGGGGTAGGGGTCATCCTCAAAAAAGTCGGAGGGAGGTGGTAAAGGTGGTTTTGTGGGCGAGGGGCTTGGACTTCCAGCAAGTGAGCGTGAGCGTGTGAGATAGGAGTGAATGGAGACGAATGGTTTTTGGGACTTGACGAGCTGTTGGAGTGTGAGCAGGGTAATATTTAGTGAAGGAATTCAGGGAAACTGGTTATTTTTATATAGCCAGATTTGAGTGCTGGAAATGAGAAGTACAATGCCTGCACTTTAAAGGAGGGGATTGGGATATTGACAGTTTGGAGGGATATGTTATATATCTTTATATATGCTTCTAAACTGCTGTATCTGGGTGTCTCTGCAAAGACAGTGATTATGTATGAGGTGAAAGTGCTGAATTATGATGAAAGTATTTTCTTTTTTTGGGATTTTTCTTTTTTGGGTCACCCTGCCTCGGTGTGAGACAGCCGGCTTGTTGAGAAAAAAAATCATACATCACCAAGGCAAGGTGATGAAAAAATTACCATTAGTCATCTCTAACCTCTGAAAACATGTGACATTAATACATTTGCTTTATTTTACTACATTACTTACCAGTATCAGTATCAAATGAAACTGTAGCATGAAAACGCTTTCCATGCTTCAAAACATCCAGAGTAAGAGCCACCTCTAAACTCTCTCGCTTATCTTGTATCTTCAGTAAGGCCCTTTCTAAGTTGAGCCAGAAGCTTATCTCCTGAAGAGCTGTACCACTAGATGGATCTCTATCCAGCTTGGTTACCTGATTTACAGAAATAAGCAAAGCTCAGAAATGACCGTCATATATGACATAATATACAGTACATTTTAAAGCAATCATTTAAACAGCATGGCAAATTTAATTAAAACTAGTGAAAAATTTGTGAGTACATTTGATTCTCAAATAAATGTGTGATGGAAATATAGAGAAGACAAACCAAAGGTCATAAACCTCTTCCATGAGAAACTAATGCAGAAACTTCAAAACAAAGGGGAAATAAAAACTAAAAATGAATTGGAGGCTGACTGGATAATGCACAGTTAAATGAGGAAGGAAGTTTTCTTGGGGAAATATTACCAGTGGGGTGTCACAAGGATTAGTACTTGCCTGTATAATGTTAATTGATATGACTTATCATGACTAATAGAAAACTTTGTGATTGCCAATGCAAAACTTTTGTCCAAAACAAAAATTCTGCAAATCTTTACCAGATGATTTAGAAAAGTGGACAGGAAATGGAGTGACAGATGTATGATAGAATCAAATGTTGATATATGTCACGTAATGGAAATGGGAGAAAGTAAAACCAGACCACAAAGAACAAAGTTTTTCAAAACTCTGGGTTTATCACATGAACAAATAAATCTAGGAGTCATTATACATATTTACAATACCTTCTGAATTTCCCTGATCCATCTAGCCACTCCATTTTGCAGCTGGTTAAGGAAATTTGAATCTTCAACTCTATCGCCAAAGTCGGCAACCTTTGGACGTGTTCCTTCATCAGCACACTTCTTGATAACCTGTAAAAGAAATAATAAAAAAGTATAATATCAAGTTTTAAGTGATTAGAACCACAAATATGCACACTTCAAAAACAAATTTCAATTTCAAAACATACATCTATACAGCATAATTTGAAAAGTACATAGCATTCACAACATTTCAAGCAATGTTAGGCTAGGTCAAATTACTTAATACTATGATGATTACATAGATCCTAGGTAGTAGGCTAGTAGACAGCAACTGCCCAGAGAGGTACTTCTATCCTGCCAAGTGAGTGTAAAACAGAAGCCTGTAATTGTTTTACATGATGGAAGGATTGCTGGAGTCTTTTTGTCTCAAACATGCAAGGTTCCAGGTATGTCTTACTACTTCTACTTACACTTAGGTCACACTACACATGTACATACAAGCATGCATGCATGCATGCACACACGCACACCTCTGGGTTTTCTTCTATTTTCTTACTAGTTCTTGCTTATTTCCTATCTCCATGGCAAAGTGGAACAGAGTTCTTTCTCTATAAGCCATGTGTCTTAAAAGGCAACTAAAATGCCAGGAGCAAGGGGCTAGTAACTGCTTCTCCTGTATACATTACTAAACTTAGAGAAACTTTTTCTTTTTGGGCCACCCTGCTTCAGTGGGATATGGCCAGTTTGTTTAATGATGATCTACATTTATAATTAAAGTTCCTTTTAAGATTCAATTGATTATTGTAAAGAATACCAAAGCTCAAGGCTCTTAAGACGGTAAAATTTTATAAAAGAAAAAGTGACTGACCTGTGCTACAGTTGGATGGATGGGCAAAGATATATCAGGGATATCAATGTTTTGTTGTAAATGCAGAAGGCCCATTTCTAACTCTGCAATCTTTTTTTCAACAGATGGTGCCATCTTGTCTCCATCTCTATTAAGAATAAAAATATGATATTTACACCACAACACATTTTGATATACTGTAAATTAAAAATTGCACAAGTGCTATATAGTTCACACACATTGCTCATACCCAGGTCAGTACTGTATGAGTTGCACAAATTATTCACCTCTCTATCTTTCCAGATTCTTTAACAAACGATTTAAAGTATGGAGCAACAGCATTTGCTACAATTGCATGGAGTGTCTCATATGGCGAGCCATCACTCAGGTTCAAAGTGCGTATCTGAGACAAGATGGATTTGTCTGCTTCAATTACCCCACCTCTCTTGATAAACAGGATACTGGAAAGGGAAAGAAAATTAGATAAATTAATCTTCTGTGACCTAGTGTAATTTTTTTTTGGTCTGAAGAAACCTCTGGATTGCTTGTGAAATAAAACTGCAACTTTTTAATTTGTATACCACATTCCTTTTATTCTTACTCTACTTACTACAGTGCAAGAAGTAATGTATAAGGTTACCTTTTATTCACTAACACACTGCCCAGCACACTAATCTCAATGTACATTTCATCATCTCCTTTTTCCAATAATTATTGCCCTCGCCAAACACCTACAGTGCTTGTCATGGCATTATGCTGGATGAGCACCCCAGCATAATGCCGTGATGAAAATCAAAGGCCTTCCATACGGGGGGAGGTCTTTTTTTGTCAGTTCATTCTGCTGGATAGCAGCCGTTAGCATAACGTCACGGCCTTGCGCCACACTTTACAGTGAGTTCTCATTGCTCATGAGGCTGCCATGGTGAAAGGAAGTGCTGTACTTCCGTGGCGAGAGGAAGTGTTGCACTTTTCTCTCTCATCCGCCTCATCCTTTGTTCAGTGTTCCCTTTGGTTTTGGGGCTATACATTTTTGATTATGGGTAAAACGAAACTGAAACTATATCTTAAATCACAGGGCTTCACAGAGCTGGGCACCAGACGAAACAAATAGTGGAGAACATTAGTGTGTGCGAGCACTCAGTGAGGAACTGGATGCACCGTTTCAAGGCTGATGGCAGTGCCGAGTTACTGCCTGCCAAATCTCGGCCTGTCTCCTCCAAGAAGACATCTGCTCGTACCTTAACTGTACCTTAACATTATGCCAGGGCGCTCACCCAGCATAATGCCGTGACAAGCACTATAATCATGGTTACATACATAAAGTTACCCCTTTGTCTTTAACCCATAAACAGTCCAAGCAGAACTACGTTCACATGTGTAGTGCTACAAAAGTAGATCTAAGTTTTTTTACATATTTAAAAAAAAAAAAAAAGTAAATCAAAGTTTTTTTTACACATTTTCAAATATTTTTTTTATTAACACACTGGCTGATTCCCACCAAGGCAGGGTGGCCCAAAAAAGAAAAACTTTCACCATCATTTACTCCATCACTGTCTTGCCAGAAGGGTGCTTTACACTACAGTTTTTAAACTGCAACATTAACACCCCTCCTTCAGAGTGCAGGCACTGTACTTCCCATCTCCAGGACTCAAGTCCGGCCTGCCGGGTTCCCTGAATCCCTTCATAAATGTTACTTTCCTCACACTCCAACAGCACGTCAAGTATTAAAAACCATTTGTCTCCATTCACTCCTATCAAACATGCTCACAATGCCTGCTGGAAGTCCAAGCCCCTCTCACACAAAACCTCCTTTACCCCCTCCCTCCAACCTTTCCTAGGCCGACCCCTACCCTGCCTTCCTTCCACTACAGACTGATACACTCTTGAAGTCATTCTGTTTCACTCCATTCTCTCTACATGTCCGAACCACCTCAACAACCCTTCCTCAGCCCTCTGGACAACAGTTTTGGTAATCCCGCACCTCCTCCTAGCTTCCAAACTACGAATTCTCTGCATTACATTCACACCACACATTGCCCTCAGACATGACATCCCCACTGCCTCAAGCCTTCTCCTCGCTGCAACAATCATCACCCATGCTTCACACCCATATAAGAGCGTTGGTAAAACTATACTCTCATACATTCCCCTCTTTGCCCTTTTGTAGACATTTGTCAATGCATCGTATCCCCTCCCAATATATTCATTTCCCCCTTTCTCCCTCCTTCCAGTCTAATATTCCATATTTCACTACCAAACTTTTTTTTGTTATTCATCATCTTTCCCTTTTCTATGCTTCATAAATCTATGCAGTTTTACTTCATAATATCCCAAAGAAATTCATCAGTAAAGAACAATAGCGACAACCCCCACTTCATATCAGATTCATCTTTTAATCTCATGCCTCTCCAATACTCCAGCATTCATCTCAAATATCTAGTATATCATACTAACCTATTCATTTTTATTGAGGTAAAATGTACACCACTTGAGATATGATACACTACTTCCTTTTCTTCTTCCATCTCTCCACCTTCTTCTGTTTCTTCTGAAAGAAATAACACCAAATTTTTGACAAGAATTAATAATAAATACTTATCAAATTGCAGCAAAATCCAATTTAAACTTGTACATCTCTATTACTGCAGGGATTAATGACGGGTTTGGAAATGCAGGATTTAACTTATCAGTTTGGTATACATTTAATCAAGAATGAATTTCAGAAAGTACTGAAAAGCTGAAAACACCAAGATTTGTTATAATGGTGTTTACTGAATCTAACCACTGCATTTAATAATTCTCTCCTGATCCTATCTTCTTCCCCAGTTAACTGTTCTCTTCCCACACTATGAGGTGTCAAAATTTTTCGTGACAGTTTTTTCACCCACACTTCCAGTACATAAACTGTCGACAGCAGCAGAGGAATTTACAGAATACATACAAATGTTGAAATCTGCTAAGATAGATCAGAATTTCATGCACCAAATATCCTTCAAGGTAACTTTAATCTTCTAAATATGAAGTCAAAATTAGTAACCAACAGTACAGTATTAACAAAAGGTACCTGAAAATACCATAAATATCATTAAGAACATCAGTGAAAGCTAAAAGATTTTTGACAAGTTTGCATTTAATCAACAGATAATGGGACAAGCGTAACTGGTAATATACTAATTCAATGCCTACAAACAATTAAGAACTAATTAGAGATTCATCATGATTACAATTGTGATTTATCACAGCCTCACCAAAGTGCAAACACATGAATTAAGTTTCAACTCATACATATCTAATAAGAGGGAGTGTTTAGTCAATATAGTACATGTAATTGCAAGAATAAGAATGGGAAACAGACCTGAGAACTAACCCCCAAATAATGTTTGGCAAAAGCTGAACACACAAACATGAAAAAAAAAACATGCACATCCATATGACAGGATACAGTACAAGAGATCAAACTGTGTTCTTTGTAAGACTAAAGATATTTAACACTTAAGCAAGCCTTTGTATAGATAATTTACACATTAATTCATAACACCAAAACACAAAACCTGGACAGGCTAAATGACAGTATTATAATTACGTATACAAATATTTAAGATGCTATCACCAACATATATCTCAATCTGTACAGCTTTCAATATACAATATTTTCACACTAAAATATAAAATACCTTTTGTGGCACATACTAAAATATAAAATACCTTTTGTGGCACATCTTTGTATGAGAAGTGATTTTGTTTGCGGGTCTCCAATAAATTTCCGAATAACCTCCAAGTACTGTGGAGCATTAAGCGCTGTCTGAAGTTCAACAGATGGTTCATCATCATCTTCCAGCATAACAGATCCTACACGTTTTACATAGCATACAACCGTTTCCACATCTGCTACTGCACCAACAGCTTCAAGACCACCCCCTCCTCCCTCTCCTGCTTGAATAAAGAATGTGTCAATGAAACAAATACTGTAATAAATAGAATTAAAGTACATCATCCACAACAGTATTACAATATAGGCAGTACATAGAGTACACAGACTTTGGTAAATTGCAGTGTTAATAATACACATTTCAGGAAAAACCAAGCCTAACAACTACAAAAATATGAAGTAATTTGGATGACATTTGAATTTACAAGACAAATTACCAAATTACATAATTTATCTGCAGCTTGCCAGCCTAACTAAAAACTGCAGTATACAGTGGTACCTTGACTAATGAGTTTAATCTGTTCCGTGACCTACCTCGTAACTCAATTTGCTTGTATATCAAATCAATTTTCCTCGTTGGAATTAACCTAAATGCCATTAATCCGTTCAAGCGGAATTCCTGCTCTTGGGAGGCAGGAGAAAATATTTCAATATAATGCTAGTATCAATTCTACGGCTTATCTATCACAACTGATCTAATATGACAAATATAAATAACACAAACATGATATATACTCTAAAATGAATAAAATATGGCATTATGTGACAAGTGGTGGAGGTCACTCCCGAGGTAAAAATAATTATTGCTCTGACCATATCTTCCCATGCTTCCCCTTCTGAGGTCTTTTTATAAGAGAAAATGGAATGTTTATCAGGCTACCTGCACTAGATCACTAGTTTCATAAGGAAAACACTGAAACAATGTTTTTATAAATAAGAAATATTGTATAAAAACATAATAGAGAATGCAAAGAAATAAGTGTACACATTTACCTTGGAGAACAGATGCTGGCAGAGGTGAAAAGTGGAAAAGATAGGCAGTGGCATATGCTGTCGGTGGCCCTATAAACCCCAACAACAACAAAGACAGGCAGAAGAGATTGGAGGAGTTCATTTTGCTTCATGATTTTTCTATCACTTTATCACTTAACTTACTTGCTACACTCTTAACGCTACACTTTATTGCTGAACTTAATTGCGCTGGTACTGCCTTGCCAACCGCACTACCCGTACACCTCACTCGTGTTTTTCTATGATTTCATGCTTTAATTCAATGAACATTATCCTCCTCTTCTCAGCACTGTCCTTTACACTTACCTTCTTAGGACACATGGTTAGAAAAAAAAAGAAATTTGGCAAAATAACTGCACAAAATGCAAGCACAACACAAGAGAGAGGCTTCCACGGCAAGGTAAATACATGCACTACTGAGCGCATGCTGTGGCATTCGCTGTGCCAACTAGTGGTGGCATATCTGAAGCTCACTTGTAACTCGGATTTTGGCTCTTAACTTGAGCAAAAAATTAACCGAGCGACGGCTCATAACTAAAAACTTGCATGTTGGAGCACTCATAAGTCAAGGCTCCAATGTACAAAAATACTAAAAAATAATAATAATATAATAATAATAATATAATAATAATAATAATAATAATAATAATAATAATAATAATAATAATAATAATAATAATAATAATAATAATAATAAATAATAATAATAATAATAATAATAATAATAATAATAATAATAATAATAATAATAATAATAATAATAATTAATAATAATAATAATAATAATAATAATAATAATAATAATAATAATAATAAAAGAGAAGAAAAAGAAGAAAAACTTTATAAAACTGGGATGCTTGAATGTGCGTGGATGTAGTGCAGATGACAAGAAACAGATGATTGCTGATGTTATGAATGAAAAGAAGTTGGATGTCCTGGCCCTAAGCGAAACAAAGCTGAAGGGGGTAGGGGAGTTTAGGTGGGGGGAAATAAATCGGATTAAATCTGGAGTATCTGAGAGAGTTAGAGCAAAGGAAGGGGTAGCAGTAATGTTGAATGATCAGTTATGGAAGGAGAAAAGAGAATATGAATGTGTAAATGCAAGAATTATGTGGATTAAAGTAAAGGTTGGATGCGAGAAGTGGGTCATAATAAGCATGTATGCACCTGGAGAAGAGAGGAATGCAGAGGAGAGAGAGAGATTTTGGGAGATGTTAAGTGAATGTATAGGAGCCTTTGAACCAAGTGAGAGAGTAATTGTGGTAGGGGACCTGAATGCTAAAGTAGGAGAAACTTTTAGAGAGGGTGTGGTAGGTAAGTTTGGGGTGCCAGGTGTAAATGATAATGGGAGCCCTTTGATTGAACTTTGTATAGAAAGGGGTTTAGTTATAGGTAATACATATTTTAAGAAGAGGATAAATAAGTATACAAGATATGATGTAGGGCGAAATGACAGTAGTTTGTTGGATTATGTATTGGTAGATAAAAGACTGTTGAGTAGACTTCAGGATGTACATGTTTATAGAGGGGCCACAGATATATCAGATCACTTTCTAGTTGTAGCTACACTGAGAGTAAAAGGTAGATGGGATACAAGGAGAATAGAAGCATCAGGGAAGAGAGGTGAAGGTTTATAAACTAAAAGAGGAGGCAGTTAGGGAAAGATATTAACAGCTATTGGAGGATAGATGGGCTAATGAGAGCATAGGCAATGGGGTCGAAGAGGTATGGGGTAGGTTTAAAAATGTAGTGTTAGAGTGTTCAGCAGAAGTTTGTGGTTACAGGAAAGTGGGTGCGGGAGGGAAGAGGAGCGATTGGTGGAATGATGATGTAAAGAGAGTAGTAAGGGAGAAAAAGTTAGCATATGAGAAGTTTTTACAAAGTAGAAGTGATGCAAGGAGGGAAGAGTATATGGAGAAAAAGAGAGAGGTTAAGAGAGTGGTGAAGCAATGTAAAAAGAGAGCAAATGAGAGAGTGGGTGAGATGTTATCAACAAATTTTGTTGAAAATAAGAAAAAGTTTTGGAGTGAGATTAACAAGTTAAGGAAGCCTAGAGAACAAATGGATTTGTCAGTTAAAAATAGGAGAGGAGAGTTATTAAATGGAGAGTTAGAGGTATTGGGAAGATGGAGGGAATATTTTGAGGAATTGTTAAATGTTGATGAAGATAGGGAAGCTGTGATTTCGTGTATAGGGCAAGGAGGAATAACATCTTGTAGGAGTGAGGAAGAGCCAGTTGTGAGTGTGGGGGAAGTTCGTGAAGCAGTAGGTAAAATGAAAGGGGGTAAGGCAGCCGGGATTGATGGGATAAAGATAGAAATGTTAAAAGCAGGTGGGGATATAGTTTTGGGGTGGTTGGTGCAATTATTTAATAAATGTATGGAAGAGGGTAAGGTACCTAGGGATTGGCAGAGAGCATGCATAGTTCCTTCGTATAAAGGCAAAGGGGACATAAGAGAGTGCAAAAAGTATAGGGGGATAAGTCTGTTGAGTATACCTGGTAAAGTGTATGGTAGAGTTATTATTGAAAGAATTAAAAGTAAGACTGAGAATAGGATAGCAGATGAACAAGGAGGCTTTAGGAAAGGTAGGGGGTGTGTGGACCAGGTGTTTACAGTGAAACATATAAGTGAACAGTATTTAGATAATGCTAAAGAGGTCTTTGTGGCATTTACGGATTTGGAAAATGCATATGACAGGGTGGATAGGGGGGCAATGTGGCAGATGTTGCAGGTGTATGGTGTAGGAGGTAGGTTACTGAAAGCAGTGAAGAGTTTTTACGAGGATAGTGAGGCTCAAGTTAGAGTACATAGGAAAGAGGGAAATTATTTCCCAGTAAAAGTAGGCCTTAGACAGGGATGTGTGATGTCACCGTGGTTGTTTAATATATTTATAGATGGGGTTGTAAGAGAAGTAAATGCGAGGGTCTTGACAAGAGGCGTGGAGTTAAAAGATAAAGAATCACACAAAGTGGGAGTTGTCACAGTTGCTCTTTGCTGATGACTCTGTGCTCTTGGGAGATTCTGAAGAGAAGTTGCAGAGATTGGTGGATGAATTTGGTAGGGTGTGCAAAAGAAGAAAATTAAAAGTGAATACAGGAAAGAGTAAGGTTATGAGGATAACAAAAATATTAGGTGATGAAAGATTGGATATCAGATTGGAGGGAGCGAGTATGGAGGAGGTGAATGTATTCAGATATTTGGGAGTGGACGTGTCAGCGGATGGGTCTATGAAGGATGAGGTGAATCATAGAATTGATGAGGGGAAAAGGGTGAGTGGTGCACTTAGGAGTCTGTGGAGACAAAGAACTTTGTCCTTGGAGGCAAAAAGGGGAATGTATGAGAGTATAGTTTTACCAACACTCTTATATGGGTGTGAAGCATGGGTGATGAATGTTGCAGCGAGGAGAAGGCTGGAGGCAGTGGAGATGTCATGTCTGAGGGCAATGTGTGGTGTGAATATAATGCAGAGAATTCGTAGTTTGGAAGTTAGGAGGAGGTGTGGGATTACCAAAACTGTTGTCCAGAGCCCTGAGGAAGGGTTGTTGAGGTGGTTCGGACATGTAGAGAGAATGGAGCGAAACAGAACGACTTCAAGAGTGTATCAGTCTGTAGTGGAAGGAAGGCGGGGTAGGGGTCGGCCTAGGAAAGGTTGGAGGGAGGGGGTAAAGGAGGTTTTGTGTGCGAGGGGCTTGGACTTCCAGCAGGCGTGCGTGAGCGTGTTTGATAGGAGTGAATGGAGACGAATGGTTTATAATACTTGACGTGCTGTTGGAGTGTGAGCAAAGTAACATTTATGAGGGGGTTCAGGGAAACCGGCAGGCCGGACTTGAGTCCTGGAGATGGGAAGTACAGTGCCTGCACTCTGAAGGAGGGGTGTTAATGTTGCAGTTTAAAAACTGTAGTGTAAAGCACCCTTCTGGCAAGACAGTGATGGAGTGAATGATGGTGAAAGTTTTTCTTTTTCGGGCCCCCTGCCTTGGTGGGAATCAGCCAGTGTGATAATAAAAAAAAAAACATAATAATAATAATAATAATAATAATAATAATAATTTGACTTCTTAGAGAATAGCCTGGGCTCCTGGGTCAATAAGTCAGCACAGTTGTAAATGCACTTGACCAGTGATACTTTACGAGATTTAACTGTCCAGGCTGGGTTGTTCATAAGCCTCTGTTCGAACTGGTCTGGGCCCTCAATAAGGTTTAGGAAGCACCCTACCACACACAGAGATACTTCCATCACCCTTTCCCTACAGTGAGACCACTCCTTCCTCAGCAAGACCTTCCACTGCCCTTCCTTCAATGTGACACTTCCACTGCCAACTCCGAGATGATTCCAATGCCCTCTAACCACCACCCACTACCCAATGCAAGACGACCCCCACCGCCCTCCACCCACGGCAAGACGACCCCCACCGCCCTCCACCCACGGCAAGACGACCCCCACCCACGGCAAGACGACCCCCGCCGCCCTCCACCCACGGCAAGACGACCCCCGCCGCCCTCCACCCACGGCAAGACGACCCCCGCCGCCCTCCACCCACGGCAAGACGACCCCCGCCGCCCTCCACCCACGGCAAGACGACCCCCGCCGCCCTCCACCCACGGCAAGACGACCCCCGCCGCCCTCCACCCACGGCAAGACGACCCCCGCCGCCCTCCACCCACGGCAAGACGACCCCCGCCGCCCTCCACCCACGGCAAGACGACCCCCGCCGCCCTCCACCCACGGCAAGACGACCCCCGCCGCCCTCCACCCACGGCAAGACGACCCCCGCCGCCCTCCACCCACGGCAAGACGACCCCCGCCGCCCTCCACCCACGGCAAGACGACCCCCGCCGCCCTCCACCCACGGCAAGACGACCCCCGCCGCCCTCCACCGCACGGCCAAGCAAGACGACCCCCGCCGCCCTCCACCCACGGCAAGACGACCCCCGCCGCCCTCCACCCACGGCAAGACGACCCCCGCCGCCCTCCACCCACGGCAAGACGACCCCCGCCGCCCTCCACCCACGGCAAGACGACCCCCGCCGCCCTCCACCCACGGCAAGACGACCCCCACCGCCCTCCACCCACGGCAAGACGACCCCCGCCGCCCTCCACCCACGGCAAGACGACCCCCGCCGCCCTCCACCCACGGCAAGACGACCCCCACCGCCCTCCATCCACACCGAGGCCTCCCCTCCACACAATCTTGTAGAATGTACATTCTACAAGATTGATGGACTGAACACATCGACTCCAGGCTGAGGGACTGATTACCTCATACTCTTCTCCTTTCGCCTTCCTTTTTGTATTGGACTGATGAAGCCACTGTGTGGCGAAACGTTTCCTGAATAAAGATTCCCATATGCTGCATAAGTGTCTCAATCTTCAACTTGTCGGTTTTTCAAACCATTCATCACATATGTGTAAATTACCCAGGATAACCCAAGTAAGTCACCAGTGACTCTTTCCATTGTCTCATCCTAGGACAAGCTGTGATATGTTTAGACAATGTTTTATTGTTGTACAATAAATGGTGGGTGAGGCCTCACCACCTACTGTAGCTATTACAAAATTGTCATTAATAACACATTTTTCTTGAAAATATGGGGGTAACTGACCGACTAACATATCTCATTTAATGTTTCTGCATAGAAGCATTAAAAGTGACCATTTAACAACTAGAATAGCCAGGTAATTTACACTATGTGTGATAATTGTACTTATGTCCAAATAAAAATAAATAAATAAATACCGGAAGATTCACTGTCATTACCGCAGGTGAGTCACAAAGAACTGTGGTTTTAGTAAGATTACTGTCTATGTCGCCCATAAGAGTGAAGTAGTGTGTCAGCAGGAGCCATGAACCAACCTTCTTCACCGGGATCCATGGCTGTCAGAGTGAGAGGTGCAACATGCGAGTGAACGTTATGTTAGTGACAGCTGCAGCTTCCAGCACCGCCCGTCACCTCTACTGGGAGGTTCCTGGGTGACTCACAAGATCATAGACTCAAGAAGTAATGAAACACATTCACCGTCAACAAGTAGCACTCAACACTACTTCAAGATATTATGTATGATGCTTTTGTGGTTTAAGTGAGACTGCCGAGGTTCTGTCGTTTATACCTTGAGAGGGAACCAGACCAAACACTCATGACCGGTTATTGATCCTTATACTGACTTCATTCATTATTAAAATTAAAAAAATATACAACAGTATAAAGCTGTATTTCCTGATGAATTTATAGATGTTCAAGTAATTACAAAAAGCTTTAATATTAAATAAATATAACTGTTTTCCGGTGAGAAGCGGAAGCTGTTTTTTGTGTCCAGGAAGATGACTTGCTCAGGAAGAGTTCCATGACTTTTATTTTCAAAATTAGGTAGACCACATTGTCTAGCTCTCCTCAAATAATTATTTAAGGAAATATGTTTGATTTTGCTACGGAATATAACTAATGTCTCAGGAAATAAACTTATAAATCAGACTGTCAATTAACGAACCGCAGTTCGAGCCCCTCATCCACCTTTCTGTTTATTCATTGACAATTGTTTATTACAACTTAATTTGAGTTCATATTTGAGTTCATATAAATCTAAATATAAGACGAAGGGGAATATTAAAAGCCAATTTTTTTGTTTTCAAATTTAGGGAAATAATTTAACGTAGTTTTTCCTTGGAGTTTGTATTATACTGTTTTATTTGGTATTAGTTGTTTTCAGGTGTAAATAATAAGATATTACAAGAATTCCAATGGAAATAAGTCACTTTGACTTTTTTAAGGGTTATTCTAGATAGTTTTAGTTAGTTTAATATGTTTATTATGCACCCCATACCCATCCTGTGGGCGGTAGTCAAAAGATTACAGAGGTACATAATGGGTCCAGGGACTGGACTCCAAAGTTTTGATAGCTGAGCAAGTTACAAGGGTAATGAACTCCAGGTAGGTCTAGTCACAATCATGACAAGTTACAAAGGTATTTACAGATTCTTTTTATATTTTATTTAAAAATATACAGTATACATGTATATCACACATAACTGACGTAATCACAATACATGAAACCATTTACATGAAAACAATATCCTTATAACTAACGGATGACAACCTACCCCTGAACATACATAACAAAATTGCTACTAGCCAATCCTGACATTTGTATTCATATCTTGTATGAAAACTGTATATACAAAAGTTTTTATATAAACTAATGCTTTAGCCTCTTAATTTACATTGTAATATAAGCATTTTATGTACCTAAACATTCTGTAGTTATTCATCCATCTCTCACACAGTATACAATATACTTGTAAATCATACATGATTGACTGAAATCCAAACATGAAGCCATTTATATGAAATACACCATCCTCATAACTAAACGATTTACAACCCACACCTGAACATACGTAACAAAAAATGCTACAAACATTGCATGTATAAACTCTGCATATGTAACTGGATATGCCCTGGTAGTCAGTAAATGTGGGGCTGATAGTGCTGTCCTGGGAGACAGTAATGGTGAAGCTGGAGATTTTGTCCAGGTAGTCGGGAACTATACGCAGGAAGGAATACATATAAATGACCTCATAGGGGACAGGAGCCGTAGTGGGGAAACAAGTGTAGTCAAAGATAAGATAAAACCAATATTGCAAACTAGAAATACCACAGGAAATAGCAAACAAGAGGACTCCACTAGCAATAGTGAGGATATATTACCAAAGACAACTGGTGGGAGCTCCATTGTTGGTGCTAGGGAGGATAGGAATAAGACAGGTAAACATGCACCAACAGGGAATACAGTCACAGAAACCCAAGGCAAACGGAAACCAAGCCTGTGCACATACTATGCACTTGGTATCTGCAGACATGGGAAATCTGGAAAAACAGATGGGACGTGCAACTATGACCACCCTAGAAAATGCCGTGCCCATATGACAACAGGAAAATGCAAACTCCCTTCCTGGAGGTTACCTGGAGGTTATTCCGGGGATCAACGCCCCCGCGGCCCGGTCCATGACCAGGCCTCCCGATGGATCAGGGCCTGATCAACTAGGCTGTTACTGCTGGCCGCACGCAGTCCGACGTACGAGCCACAGCCCGGCTGATCCGGCACTGACTTTAGGTATCTGTCCAGCTCTCTCTTGAAGGCAGCCAGGGGTTTATTGGCAATTCCCCTAATGGTTGATGGGAGGCTGTTGAACAGTTTTGGGCCCCGGACACTTATGGTGTTTTCTCTTAGTGTACCAATGGCGCCCCTACTTTTTATTGGCGGCATTTTGCATCGCCTGCCCAGTCTTTTACTTTCGTAGGGAGTGATTTCTGTGTGCAGATTTGGGACCATTCCTTCCAAGATTTTCCAAGTGTAGATTATGATATATCTCTCCCTCCTGCGTTCCAACGAGTACAAGTCAAGTGCTTCCAAGCGTTCCCAGTAGTTAAGGTGCTTGACAGAACTTATACGTGCAGTAAAGGATCTCTGTACACTCTCTAGATCTGCGATTTCACCTGCTTTGTATGGAGATGTTAATGTACAGCAGTATTCCAGCCTAGAGAGAACAAGTGATTTGAAAAGGATCATCATGGGCTTGGCATCTCTCGTTTTGAAAGTTCTCATTATCCATCCTATCATTTTCTTTGCACGTGCGATCGTGGCACTGCTGTGATCCTTGAAAGTGAGATCCTCAGACATTACTACTCCCAGGTCCCTTATGTGTACCTCTTCAGTACAGGAAAGACTGTGCTATAACTTAAATTGCCAGGCATACCATCTAAAGGGGACAAAAAGATACAAAACATCCAGACCATGGGAAAACCTGGGTAGCCACAGCCACTCAAGAGGGAGAGGTTTTTTAGTGCCAGGAAGGAAAAAAAACTGGCAGGAAATGGCAGAAATCGTACACCAAATCCAGTCATTCCTGGAGTGGAACCACAGTCGATGGCCTCCACTCCAAACCAACATATACAGATACTAATGCCGGAAAAAATATCCCCCCGTCCCTAGAACTTTAATTTGTGTCATCAATCCTATACGATACATCCCTCTAGCGCCTGGAACCAATCTTGGGCGGAAAACATTATATACTGAGTCAAAAAAGGAGAATTAGTGTGCACTACCTAGCAGAGTTTACTGCCAGAGGGGAATCATAGGCCTGTGTCCCGTGTGGAAAAAATAATAATAATTGAACTTTTCGTGTCAGAGGAAAGAAAGTCTCCCTGATAATATTGAGTATACATAGTGTATAGTGTATACTACAGTGTCTCCCTAGTATATTGATGATAAAGGCTAAAGTGTCATTTGAAAACAGGTGAATTTGTAAATGAAGTGATAAGCCTATAGAGGCAGGTGCCAGAAGTCGCCAGAAACTTACCACAGGTCAGCTGTTTTTTAATAATCTTCCTGGCCTGCTAGTGTACTCGCATATAATCTAGTGATACCAGTGAATAGCAGAATACGGTGTTGTAGTAGCAACTAACCAGTATTATAATGGTACTTAGTGGAGTGGAGTGACTTTCATTAGTTTCTTTTTTCTTGAAATACCAGACGTTAGTTGTTAGTTTAATATGTTTATTATGCACCCCATACCCATCCTGTGGGAGGTAGTCAAAAGATTACAGAGGTACATAATTGGTCCAGGGACTGGACTCCAAAGTTTTGATAGCTGAGCAAGTTACAGAGGTAATGAACTCACAATTTACAAAGGTAATGAACTCACAATTTACAAAGGTAATGAACTCACAATTTACAAAGGTAATGAACTCCAGGTAAGTCTGGTCACAATCATGACAAGTTACAAAGGTATTTACAGATTACAGAGGTACGTAATGGGTCCAGGGACTGGGCCCCCAAAGTTTTGATAGCTGAACTAGGTACAAAGGTAATGAGCTCACAAGTTACAAAGGTAATGAATTCTGTAGAATGGTTACTTACGTTTATACTTTGGCTACAATCATGAACAAATTATAGAGTAATGAGCAATTCACACTTCCACACCCGGTCACAACTGTAATGAGTTATTGGTGCAAATATTGATTGTTGAGTCACACACACCACACACACACAACACACACACACACACACACACACACACACACACACACCACAAAACCCACCACCCACACACCTTTAGTTTAATTCTTTATGCACCCCATACCCACCCTGTGGGCGGTATCAAAAGTTAAAAAAGGTACATAATGGGTCCAGGACTGGACCCCAAAGTTATGATGCTGAACTAGTTACAAAGGAAATGAACCCCGGGGTAATCTGGTCACTAACATGGCAAGTTACAGGGGAAAGAATCCTTCACCCTATACAGGGTTTACAGTCTGAAAAAATTTACAAGTAATAAACCCACTTTTCGCCCCAACCGGGTCACAAGTAATGAGTTATAAATACAAATTTTAAAGGGGACATACCCCCACATACGCGCGCGCGCACTACACAACGAGGCGCACGCAGGGACATGTGCACACGAGCGTACAAATATATGCATACCCCAAAAGGACGCACACCCACACCCAACACCCACACACACACACACCAACACCCACCACACTTTTTATAAAATTCCCTCACAAACAAGCCCAGAATCTTGCTGTAAATTTTTGTAAAGGGTTTGGGGAACCAAAGCAATCATAGACTAGGGGAGAGGCACAACTTTGTAGTACCCACAGTCAGGGGCCAGGCTTCAAACAACCCTTTTATTGTACCAAAAAAGGGAAAGGGAACAGACTACCGCACTGTCAAAGCCAGCATAGCGTAAAACCAGTTCAAAAAGAGTGCCAAAAGGTGTCTGAGAATGTAGCTACAAAAAGGGGGGGGAATAATTTTTTTTTTTTGTAACTACGTGTAAATATTACCTTATTCCTTGAATACCCTCGATTGTAGATAGTCCTAATGCCTTGGTGTAGCAGAGGTCTTTTTAGTTTGATAATAAAATGTTTTCTTCATTGTAAATGTAAGAAAATATTTTAACCTTATACTAAAAATAAGGTAAAAGGACCCAATGGGGAAAAAAAAAAAA